ACACCATTATACTAATTTGCAGTCTCTGTGGAATTGAACTTTGGAATTCTGAGTGTCATTAGATTAGTAAAAGGATATTCTTAATATCTTTGAACCAATAAAATCAGCATATCTGTTTCTGCATCAACTTTACTGAATTTTTGAACACTGACACTACCAAAATGGGGGGTTGACATAAAATTGTAAAATACTGCTGGTGTTTTCCATTATTTACATTCTGTTGATATCCCTGCATAAAAATCCAATAAGGGAACATAGTATAAGGTGAAAAGATAAGTATATACATAGTTCTATAGAATATATACTGCCTGATATGCCTCCAGAAACTAGATGGAATCACCAAGTTTAGGATAGATTCCTCACATTGTTATTTTGAAGCATAACAGTGACTTGATTGTGGGGATGTGGCCTTCTATTGTACTGTGAGTTGTAATCTCATGCTGCTGTTCAGCTTTTGAGGTACAATTGTGTTGTCTAATCCAAAACATTTATGTTAACAAATCTCCTGAACGACATGATCTTTCCGTGTTATTTTACTAAGACTGAATGTTCATAACTTGTATGAAACTGCATAAACTGTGGGTGTGTTTAGTATGATGGAAATATTTTCTTAGAAATTGTTTTTTAGGAAAATAAATGGGTTTCTTATTTATTTTCTTGTTTTCAGTATGCAAGCAAAAAAATTATCCTAAAAGCATTTATATATAATCTAGACAAATACTATGAGAGGTGGAGGTGGAGGGTAGGGGGTGTGGGGTGGTGAGGATGAAGATGAGGTGTGTTGGAAGGGAAGGGTGTGTATGTGTGTGTGTGTGTGTGGGGGGGGGGGGGGGGACACTATGAATGTGTAATGCCACTAGTCTAACTTGTTTTCAATACTTCCATTAGGGAAGTCATTTTTCTCAAAATGTTTCCTCTGTACCTAACACACCCTGTATGTTGACTTCATGGACAATCTTGTAAACCATTGAACAATAAAAGAAACTTACCATATTTTTGTATGATGCAACTTAACTGAATTCAGAAGTGCCCTTGTGTCTTTCTCTTTTCTCCAATATCCAATATAAAGAGGTCAGTTCTCCAGTTTTCTGATTTTAAATTATAAGCAGTTGTATCATTCTGGTTCATTTGTTTTGTTTTTTTCTCATGTGTTTCGGGTGCTTCTTGTCTTTCTATGAATTCTTTTCTCAAAATTTCTTTGTTTGTTTCCACTCGTCACTTATTCCTGTGCTTATCGCCTTTGTCTATTTCTCTAGCTACTCAAACAAGTAGTGTTTTTCAAGATGCTTCAGTGGATTTGACTTGTGGTCCAACTTTTTCTTTTTTTTCCTTTGTGTTATAAAGACCAAACATTTTGTTGTCAATCGATTCTTTGATGTCAATTAATAGATCTTACATCTCAACTGCATACAAATTAATAGTGACATGCATTTGAGAGTGTGCAAGACATGTAAAGATCTTTGCAAAGTGTACATATTAGTCTGCTGTTTGACAAAAAAATTGTCTTATGAACTAGACTTGCCGCGATCACTCAGGTGCAAGTTCTACTACAATAATTTTCATGAATGTGCAGCAATTTCGGTGACTCTGTTGTTCATTGGCATATTAATCTTTTATTTAACTCATTCACATGCAGGCAGAGGTGAATTACTTGGGGCATATTCGACATCCGAATCTGGTGAAGCTGATAGGATATTGCTGTGAGGATTACCATAGACTGCTGGTTTATGAATATATGGCATCTGGCAGCCTGGAAAAGCACCTTTTTCCAAGTGAGTACTCAGTATCCATGTCAGTCCATGTTGACAAAGGCTAATAAGACTAATGTCCACTCTAGAACACAAAGAAACAATAGGCACTCGTGAATTTTGGATTTACTTCCTAAACTTTCAGAGAGACTTGTAATTTTAAATTAGTTTTCTGTTTATACCAACACCAATGTTGCATTAGGTACAAAGTACAACTGTTCTGTGCATGTAAAGCTGAACATTTGTACTATATAATCATGATGAAGAAGATGCACCTATCTGTGCAGTGTCACTAAAATTATAGAAATTAACATATATTTCGTGAATAATGTTCTTTGTTTCCAAATCCCTATTTAACTGATCAGTATTTTTAGTAGTTTGTTCTCTATGAAAAAAATTTCTTTCTCTCTTCAACTATGGCTTGTGCTGTAGGAGTGTGTGCTACTCTATCTTGGTCAAGAAGAATGAGAATTGCTTTGGATGCTGCTAAAGGGCTTGCTTTTCTTCATGGAGCTGAAAGGCCTATAATATATAGAGACTTCAAGACGTCAAACATTTTGTTGGATGCGGTGAGCTGTCTTTTTCATGATGTATTTTTTTCTTTCAAAGCCTCTTTCTTTGTTTATGGTCTTCTTCTCATTTGTTAAAAGAGACCTAGAAAATTGGTATTTACAACTTGCTGAGAACAAAATTATTAGTTCTATACCATCTTTGCCTTTGTTTAAATTTTGATGCAGGAATTTAATGCAAAGCTTTCTGACTTTGGACTTGCAAAAGATGGGCCCATGGGAGATCAAACACATGTATCAACTCGTGTGATGGGCACTTATGGCTATGCTGCTCCAGAGTATGTCATGACCGGTAAGTCCTGTGGTTGCTTGTTGCACAAATCAGGCAAGCACAGAATAAATGCTTATGAGATACAGTAGTAAAGTAACTTCTGAGCCTAGCAAAGAACGATGGTTAGACCCATTTATGCCCAATTTCTCTTCAACCTTTAAGAATGAGTGGTTTTATGTTTTGGCTATCTTCTTAAATACTTATAGCACATCCATTTGCCTTCCGTAGCTGTTCAAAGAAACTGTATTTGAAGACTCAAGTATTAAAATTCTTCAACATAAACCATAGCATCTTCCTTATCTTCTTTATGCAGCCAAAGACCCAAATGTTATACACCTTACTGGTTATTGTTTACTTTGAATAGGCATTGCTACCACCTGATGCTGTGAACTAAGATGTTTAATTGCATTATTCAGGACATTTAACAGCCAGAAGTGATGTTTATGGTTTTGGCGTTGTTTTGCTTGAAATGCTCATTGGAAGGAGAGCAATGGACAAAAGTAAACCTAGCCGGGAACATAACCTTGTTGAGTTTGCTCGACCTCTCTTGAATCATGGCAAGAAGCTTTTCAGGATAATTGACCCCAGACTGGACGGTCAATACTCCTCTAAAACTGCTTTGAAAGTTGCTAATCTAGCCTATCAATGCCTAAGTCAAAACCCAAAGGGAAGGCCTGTCATGAGTGTTGTTGTTGAAATACTTGAAGCCCTTCAACCACAAGATAAAGGTGAAGAGGCACTTCTTATGACTGGAGGTGGCAGTGTCACATTGTATGAAGCTAAAGCAAACCCACTCAAATGTGAAAGTGGAAGGGAACCTGATGCATCAAAGAGTAATCAAACAAATGGAAGAAGCAAGAGTGAGCTACCAAAGGAGTGTGATCTTTATAATCCTTTCACCTGATCTTGTACTTGACGTGGGATCAGTTTCTTCAAGAAGTTGAAAAGCTAAGATGAAGCTAATGTTGTACCAAATGTATCTTTGCTAATCCGCATTACATATATTTTCTCTTAGCATTCCTTCATTGGAGGAACTATCAATATTTGTAAGACATCATGTGTCACTCCACGTCTATTTTGTGTTGTTGTATTGAGGAACTGCTTTAGCAATGAGACATTTGGTCATATTAGGGAAACAATAAGGTCTTTCCGAAGGAGAGGCAGGCGTCTAGCATCATTTTGACCAAATATATTGGTATGACCCAAAAAAATTTAAGTTATTTCTTTCTTGAATGGAGTCTCGAAAGGGAAACCAACAAAGAGTTGTTTAATGGTTTTTTGTTTTTTGGTTTCACCAGAGCATTGGAGCTCAACTAAATTCGAATGTTTAAGGAATTTGTTGTTAGATGATATTGATCTGTATGAGTAAAGCTTGACATGTCATGGTTGTAATGATGAAAAAGGCTACCTAATGATAGTAAAATAAGATAACCAACCTGTTGAGTTTTCATGATTTTCCTGCCTGTAAAGTGGTTGGATTTTTGTCTCCATAAAAATAGAAAAGAATAATTCTAAAGTATAAATAGTTTAATGCCAGATCTTTTGCCTAAAGTTAAACGTGTTCAAAATAAGAAAAATATACCAAAAAGGTTAAAAGTATATCAAATTCATCATATATTAATAATTTGGCTCATTTATGCTCCTAAAGTTACTTTATTGAGTCGAAAAGATCCTTATATCATATGAATCTAATCGAGAACATATTTAGATCTACACACAAAAGTATAAGAGCATATTCAGTCCAATTTAGGTTTTTTTAATTGTAATTATGTTGTATTTATGAAGCAACTTGAATTAAATTGTAGTGAATTTTCTCACCAATTTAAGGTATTGCATAGACACATTCTAAGCCATTTTTAAGCAACTAAAGAGTTAACATGCTATTTTGTACAATATAAGTTGGGAAGCTTTTAGGTAAAGTTACAACAATTATAATTTCATGAAACAAGAATTTTACGACATTATTTCAAACCACAAAATATCTTTACATTCCATCAAATCACCAAATGTCATAAGATTCCATGTAATCACATATGCATCAAAATAACATAATTGAACATGCTTCAAACTAGAATTGTCTTTATATTCTATCATACCACCTAATGTCATTAGATTCAATCAATTCTGAGAACATGCAGTTAAGGAGGATTACAGACTGAACAAATGAATTTATCAAGATGGTTTAATTCAATATTTGATTTTGGCGCAATTTTTTGTTTGAAGAAGCTTAGGTCCTCTATGCTGCAGTAAGCCTCTTCCTGACCCTTGTTCATTTCACTAAACTAAAAGGCAGTTTTCTTATAAATGTTGCTAAAATGAGATTGGAGAGGTAAAAACATGAAATTACTGTTCAATTTCAACTGTACAATGTCACCTAATGAATGGTTGACATGATGGCAGATATGTCAGCATTGTCAAGGAAACTGAGAAATGAACAAAAACAAATCACAGATTCATGAAAACAGAAACTGTCTTGACACTCTAGAAGTTGATAAAAGAAAAGAATAGCTCTTTCTAAACATCAAGATTCATTTCCCCGCAAATCCATTCACTTCAACTTTCTTTGGCATATGCTATGGTGCATTTTTTCCTGCGATGAGAAACAAGTGATGTCAAGACTGAAGACACCTCTATGAAAGAGGAAAAGAAGCACAAGCAACAAAAGATCTTTCTCAGGTCAACTTGACAATTGCTAACACACAAATTCAAGTAAACGAATAAACACAAGCTTTTGTGTTTCTTCTAGTGGTATCACTTTGTTGGTAATCGTGTTGTCCTTCCATTCCCTAAGAAACTCTAAACACCCTCTCTAGGAGTTCCAAATAGGGGCACCCATCACAGAAAATACTTGTTGCATTGTATTTTATAAACCTGGTTTTTTGAGAAACAAAAATCAGAAAACTGAAACCTCCATCAATTTAAACTTCCTTCTCCACATGGCCACTCTTCCTATCCTAAAAATCGCAGACTCTGTGATCAACTCTCAAATTCTACTTTTCAGCAAGCACCGCATGGTAGATAATGCACATTGACTATCACAAAGGGATCTATAAAAATAAAGGAGCTTTCTGACCAACAAAATCCATAAGACCGCTCCTCATAAACAACATACAACATACCCAGTGAAATCCCACTAAGCGGGGTCTGGGGAGGGTAGAATGTACGCAGACCTTACCACTACCTCGTGGAGGTAGAGAGGCTGTTTCCAGCAGACCGCTCCTCATAGAGAGTTAGAAAGTGTCGTTTCTCATAGTGAAGCTTAGGCTGATGGGGTAGGGCATGGCCCTCCAACTCTCAACCCCGACTTAAACAAGTGGTTTTTAACCCACATTTTGGGAAGTTCTGTTAGGTTCTTAGTAGAATTCAGCAACCTTATATCTATCTATCTTACCCATGTTCAGCAAGAGTTGAAGCAGGTAAATATAATAGATCATTCAATAATGTGAGCTTCTGATTGGAGAAAAATTTGAATAAGAAGAGACTTTTCTTACCCCAAATCTGGTTTAACGTCATTGCCAACTGCATCAAAGATTTTCTCTCTGCCGGGGTAGAATATCCACCCTTTATCATTTCCTGAAATGCAGAAAGAAATTCCCGCTTTGCATTTGTAGGGAGGACAATATAATCTGGTCCATGGACAGAACTCAATTCCACCACCTAAGTTTCAGAAAAAAATACATACCATGAGGCTTTAAGTCCACAATTTTTTCAAAAATGAATTATTCATGATCCAAATACATCATTATGTATAATGTGATCAGACTATCATAACATGTTTTACCATATGGCATAATTCAGAAATGCTGCAAGTAGAAGAAAGTCAAGAAACAAAAAGGCAGTGGACATGGCACCCAAGGGTTTGGCCAACTGTTCAATGTGGAGGTATATCTTGGATATCAGGATTGCAGTAAAGACAAAAAAGACTAGGTGATTTCTTCTCATCTGCTTAAGTCTTGGTGGACAAAGTAGTCTGGTACTTGTGATGGTGGGAGGCAGCGGAATCTGGTGTAAAAGTCGAGGTATGCACAAGTTGACCCGGACACCACTGTTATTTTCAACAACAAAAAAATAGGCAATGGACATGCCATCTAAGTCGTGAAAGATTGTAAACCAAGATAAGCAGAAATCTATGGAATAAAACAACGAAGCTATCACATATTTGGCAGAAAACTTAATGAAAGGATTTACTGAAGTAGAAAAAGGCACAGTAATTTGATAAAACATTCAAACCCCCACTTATCTACCTTTAGTGCTACGCACTCTTAGTTGAACCTTCTTCCTAATCAAGCATACTTTGTGCATGTATATTTTCAAGAGAAGTAAAGAAAAAGCATATAGTTAGTTTTAAGATTTTGATAACCACAAGATGCACTTGCCTGTTGCAGCCAGGGAATTATGCTATTCACATATGTTTGCTCAAAGAAGTATGATGCCAAAGTTGCCAAAAGATCATTTGCGGTCTTTTGGGATAAATTCTCCAGAACCGGCCCTGTTGTATCAACAAGTTCAAATAAAAGAAGTTCATCACCAGAATAAAGGGCTTCCATATAAGCAGAGTCTACATCCGCACCCAACAGATGTCCTTTGACAACTCTCCAGAGGTTATTCTTGGCGTCCAAGTGATTTTGTTTGTCATTAGTTGTAGCAGTTCTGCCAATAACATCTTTATTTCTCCTCAATTGTCCTCCATGTGTTCCCTGTCCACTATTTTGGTGGATGCCCTTTCCAACAGAATATCCACCTTGTTTTGCAGCAGGATCGATCCACATGTCTAGATTTTGATTTCTAAAACTGCTAGATCTGCTCTTCACAAGTGTCCTATCCCCCCGAACCTCCACTTCTTTGGTGGGTGGTAATGGAGACTTCCTATGAGGTATATCAACTGATGGCCTTGGGGTGTATGTGGAGAGTCTTGGCGAAGCAACAGCAGGACTTCTTTTCATAAATTTTGTTGTTGCTGGATCAGGAAATTTCCCCCCATGAGAAAGTTCCTTGGACATTCTATCAACCATGCCTTCAAGACTGGATACCTTTATTTGCATAATTGATAGGTTATCCACAATGTTGGATGTGAACTCCTGAAAGTATAGTTACAACAGGGGTGGTCAAATAATCAACTGAACATGTTTTTTTTAACAAGGCACCAACTAAAATGTTATACATCATATATAGAAAGTAGCTTAATCAGATACAAGCATAATGCATATACTGAAGCTTCCTTGTTACTGTTATATAGTTATATTTGAAAGGACAGTGTCCAGGAAGTTTAGTTCTTGGCTTACTTTACATTACAGATTAATACTACAAGAGCATTTGATGTGCCTTCCACAAAATGGCATGACACACAATGGTTAGTTGCCATGATATGCATTGGCTGATCCAGACTAACACAACAGAAATGTTAATTTAATTACCTTTAATAAATCCAGTAAATTGGATTGCTTATTTTCAATGTCTAACAGTTGCTTTCTGACAGCTAACATTTCCTTGGCTACTTGAGAACAACAGCCATGCAATTTTTGAGAACTCAAATCAGTAACAGTTGAATCTAAGCTTCTTCGGTCCTGCATTCCAGAAAAATACCGTTGTTCTTCAATACTGATTTCTTCAACTGCAGAACGCCGACTTGTTCCCAATGGTGTACCCAAACTGGCCTCATCAATTACGTCATGAGAACCCACAACTTCTTTGCGTTGAAAGTTATCAGGAAACAGATTTGACCCAGAAGAGCATTCCTGTTTGTCATCTATGTGCACATACTCATATTCAACATCATGAGAACTTCTAGTCCCAGCACCTTTTTCAAATGCCTTCGTAACAGAACTACCCTCTGATTCTTCATCCCTAACTTCTGGCATAAAGATCTTACGGGTTTTTGGAACTGCTATTTCTACATGCCACTCATCAGCACCGGAATGCTGAGGCTTTTCAACATGGTTATGGCCTGCTTTTCTCAAAGAAAGGGGAAGCTTGTTTTTAACCGAGTCACAACCAAATTTCTTAGGTGTGACATCCTTCAGTGTTGACTCACTGGCACTTGTTATATCACCATAGTCATCTTTATACAGATTTTCTGCATGATACAAAGTATTATTACGCTAGTCACAAAATAAAAATAACAGAAGTCCATCCTTAAAATGCTGTTGGAAACATGTAATTTGGAAACATGCCAGTCATATGGCCAGCCTAACAAGGACAGAAGCAAGACTGACCTGAAACTAGATCAACATTTGGGTTTAAATGCCATGAGCCCAAAGAACCAGCTCATTTTCACAAAATCATAGCTCAAGAACTAGAGCACTCAAATCGCAAACTTTATTTACTTAGATGCGGAACGAATCAACTAGGTTATCAGAGTATTACATAAACATTGAGAGTAAGATGAGACATGAGAGATATCTGCAACAATTGAAAAAAATATCACATCAGAGAGCACTGACCAGCATACCTTTTATGGAAGAGCCTGCTTCGGAAGGTTCAGATGTACCATGGCAAGGAAGCCTTTTCCACATGTGTAAAGCTTGCAATGCCGAGTCCCTGACTGGTTTCACCTGAACAAAGCATATAAGGTTTAACATTTTCAACTTTCATATCAGGCAACCACCACAAGGAAGCTTACCACATGGCTCAATTATGCATTCTGACTGCAACATTTACCTTATCAAATCGACAGGATTCAAGGGTCCGGATGCTGGAAGATTTGAAAGCACTGAACAATGCTCCACCAACTGAAGCAATGTCCCCTAATGCTGCGCATGCAGCTTTTCTTGTTGCCCAATCACTGTTCTTGAGTCCTTCTTGAATGCTAGTCATTGCAGTTGATAAAGCACTATGTGTACTAGCACCACCAGCCTGATTATTAGAAAAAAATGTGAAAAATTGTCATCTTTATCTGATGTGTAAATCAGCATTAGCTTGCAAACATAATTTGAAAATTTTACTTAGGTGAAATTAATGACTAAAAGGACATTTTCCTTGTTCTTTTAAGGTGCCAACTACATGTAGACATATGCTACACAACTGCAGAACTCAATAGGATCTAACAGTAAGTATAAACTGGAATGTTTTTATCCTTCAAGTCACACACAAATATTACCATTATATGTGTGTGACAGAAAATTTCAAAGATCAAAGAAAATTACACAAGATAGACCAACCTGAATTATGCTTCTATTCAATTCAATAACAGCTGGCTTTGCCATGAAGTGTGGATTCTTAAGCAGCTTGACAGTTTTACCCAGCATCTTCTGCAAAATAACAGCTGGAGGGTTCTGAATACTGTCTATGACCCGAGCCAAGCACAGCGCCGAACCAGTTTGCACATGCTTATTTTGCTCTCCCAATGCTTCAAAAATAGGTCTCACTAGCACCACAAAAACTCCATCATTTTCATTGTCACGTGCAACACTGCTCATTTTAGAAGCCAAAATGCCAACAGTATCCACACACGCATCTCTTACAACAGTATCTGAGTCCTTGAGACGCTTAACAATGCTGGCTACCATCTTCCCAAGATGTGGAACAACAATACTATCATGGAAATTGGCCAGAATGCCCATCAGCCGGATAGATTCCTTACGAACAGAACTTTTCTGCTCAGAGTCCGTATCTAATATACAAGACAGAAATGGAGTGACTCCATCTGGGGTTAAGCATTCAATTATTTTCTCTAGCTCTTCAACTCCAATTTGGTAAGTATCCCTATCTGCAAGCTTGTTCAGTGCAAGAACCACACGTTGTTTAAGTTCAAAAACAACCTGTTGTCCGTTCCCCCGGCTGGGACCTCTTCCTTTCACCATATTAACATGTGTCTTCATCTCTTTTGCCTGCTCATTCACCTCTCCCAGAATATAATTCCAGCAATTCACAGTTGTAACCCACGATTATTCCCTTCAAAATTCAAATAATAACTTGTTAAGAAAATATCAAGCTTTTCTCTCTTTCTATCCAGTAAACAGCAACACCTATTTTCATGTGCCAAAGTCATTTTCATTTTCAAAAAATTTATTGGGTCAAAGTTAGTAACTGCGATTAATAATGTTGCAAGGCTGCCCCCAATGTTTCTCTCTCCCAGCCCCACAACAAACCTCCAACCAGTAAACCAAAAAAGGGGGAAAATGAATAACTCTATCTAATATTATTTGTAACTGTATAGCTTCCAACTTTCCTTGAAGCCAAAAAAAAAGTACAAAGAAAACGGTTAAGAACACACAAATGACTGAACCTGAGCATTTTGCAGAATACAAATGCAAACACTCTAGGAATATCCAAGAGCCTGCACCAGTGGTACATGAAGTAGGATGAAAACCATAAGAGACCAAGTTTAAATCTCAAAAGATTTTTTTCCATATAAGCAAACTTTGGTGGTCAGAATTATCCAAAAATTGAACCAGTCGAACACCACATTATTTTTTTAAAAAAAAGAAAAATCAAAACAGTCACATTTTCACTGCAACTAAGCAAAAAACATGAAAGTATAAAAAAATGTTCATAGAGCTAATAGATTGAAAAACTTACAAAAGAAGCCGAGCATTTCAGTCTTCACCAGATGTCCAAAAGCAGAGTTGAAAAATCTAACTCAGGTCCCTGGAAAATAGAGTAACATTTTGAAGTTCAAAATTTGAATATTAATTTAATAATACTACTGAAATGTCAAACTTTACTCGATACAACGAACAACTTGGCCATAAATTTTTTTCACTTTTTTCGGTAATAAGTATCGCAGGTAAAGTAGGAAACTGCGAATTAAAGCTGTAAATAAAGTTCCCTGCATGTGCATAGTTGAAACATTGAGAATAAAACTTACGCCATTCATGACTTGTACTATATTACAGTAATTTAATATTTGAAATTTACGAATCTCGGTGATGGAGAAACAGTGAAGAAGGAGCTCACTGCGAGAATTGAAAATCAAATCCCGTACAATAACAGAGTGAGAATAAGGAGAAAAACTCTGAAAAGTAATGTCAGAGATAGAGAGAGAGAAAGAGACCGGAAGGTGGAGAACACGCGCCGGCAAAGAGCGACGGTGTAGGGGTTTTTGGGGTTTTCCGAGTGGCTATTTTAAGTTTTCGCGCTCTGACTTCGATTTTCGAATTAAGAGGGAGAATTTCGGTAATGGGACCCACCTGAAGCTGCTAGTCCCGAGGATTTTATTTTCTTTTCTTTTTGTCTGTTTTCACTTTTGTAAGCTTTCAATTTTTGAATATGGTGTTTTAATTTCAATACTACTAATTACTTAAGACGAGAATTGAATGTGATAAAGACTTTTTTTTGTAAGGTTATAATTGCGTCGTAATTTGAAAAATATCAACAATAATTTACGCAGATTTTATTCTTATTTTTTTTAATGATAGAGCTTAGAGAGATCATTTCCAATAGTCTTTCAATTAAAAAAAAGAAATAGATGAAAAAGAAGTTGTAATAACACATAGTAACAACAACAAAATAGTCAAATAAACGAAGCGGAAAAAAATCAGATAGTACTATAGATCTAAAAATAAGCAATTTAAAAATAAAATTAATACTCGAGTAAAGGAATATGCTCAGCAACCTACTAACCTTCTATCCCTGATACTAGACCTCCACAACTCTCTTATCAAGAGTAAGTTGAAGTTGTGGTTTATCCTGCGCAATCACTTCTCTTTAGTACTTCTTTGACCTATTTCTGCATTTCCTCAAACACAATATGACCAACCTCTCATGCTTCCTCATTGGGACATTCATGCACCTCCTTTGCACATATTCAAAATATTTTAGTCTTCCATGCCACATCTTATCCACCGCGAAGGACACACCGACCGACCTTGTTTCAAATATCTTCATTTCTAATCTTATCTCTCTTGGTATGTTCACATATCATCCTCATTTATACTACTTTTATCTTTTGGACATAGGTGTTCTTAACTGACCAACACTTTTCATACAACAAAGTTGATCTAACAACCATTCTGTAAAACTTACCTGTTAACCTCAATGACACATTCTTATCACAAAAACAATCCTTCATTTCATTCATCTACTCCAATACAATACGTGAGATCATCACAATTCTCCCCATTATCTTGGACAATTGACCCTAAATATTTAGAACTATCTCTCTTGAATCAAATCTCGATGTCACATTTGCTTCATGAATCACGTCACTAAATCTTCAAATATTCTCTCTTAATTCTGCTCAACTGAAATATCACCTGATTTAAATGAATTGTATCGATACTTTTGTCATATGAAACTATTCTTTTCGTCGTATTGCATAGAACATACATTTTTTAGGTGCACTCACTCAAAAATCTTATGGGAACAAGTGAATCAGTGACATAAATTTCTCCATTAGAATACAAGTTCATGACCTAGTAAAAATTCTGTCAATAGAATAAAGAGCATCATCTACATCAAATAAAAACCACCAAATAAAAATGTAAGTGTTTTCAGAGACCACTACAAAAATGGGTCATGGGAATATATTATGCCACTAACATCTGCAAGGAAGCACTAACGTTACTCCACAATTTTAAACTGACTTTACAAAATAACTTAACACCCTTAATCATCGAGACTGATTGCTATGAAATTATTGATATGTTATCTAACAAGGACTATGCGTGAAGCAGGAAGGGCATCAATCAAACATATATAGAGAGAGAGGGACTAATGGAATAGCAGACCATTCCCAAATTCATGTTGGACTAAAAATACGCTAAAGCACATATAGTACACATCGCTCATATCGACTACATTATAAATTTTCCGAGCAGAGTATATTTTAACATCTTCCAAAAGTACATTGGCTGGCGGTAATCATTTAAAAAAAAAAAAAGAACCCTCTCCTAAGTCTATTAAAGTTCAGAAAATGCAAGGACCTACGATCCCATGTGTTTCACAATGAAAAATTGCTCTCAATTGCAGGCTTCAGCCAAGAATGGGGAAGATACGCGTGATGTGCTCCAGTGGAACACTATCAGCAGTATTTTTCTTAAGCTCTGGATGGTTGAATTCAGTGGGAGGAAGGGTGATGAGTTGGCCCTTACCCTGACCTTTTTCAATAACCCAACCATTGTTCGATGCCTGGTGCTCAAGGAACTTATCCAATGAAACACCCTCAATGTTGATAGCCTGCCAATATTAATTACACGGTGAGCTCAACACATGTCATAATGATAAAAGAGACTTGGGAACTATAGGGTAAATTCAATATAATATGTGCATGTTGGCATTCCAACCTCCTTCCTTCTCTCTGAATAAATTAAAAATATCCACGAAGAAAGAAGAGTTTCTTATTCAACAACAATGGGATATAGATTTCAAGTAAAAAGAGACCTCATTACAAGCATGAAATTGTCGAATACAGTTCACACAGAATATACTACACCTTCCTAGACTTACCATTATTTTCAGGTTAACACAATACATGAATAAATAATAATATTTTTGTGAAGCTTTAGTGAAAATGCAAGTAGTAAGTCATTTTCTAGAAAGGAAATTCTTTACCACATAGTTTGACAGATACTTCTCTTTAAAAACAGTCTATCACTCACAGCAGCTAAACACAAGTAGGATATGTGTGCCTAGACCATAACTCAATGAATAAAACGAGTTATTTATGTATAGAACCAGTAAAAAACTTGAGTTGCAAATGCAATAGAGCATGTACACTTTACAAGTCTTTGTATAATCTTTCAAAAGTTGGATACTTCGAAAATAAAATGATCAAAAAGTTATAAACCATATTTAACCATGGTATGTTATATGTTATACAATTATGAAATTTCAACCATCCAATCCTCTGGTTTCTCCAGAAGTGTGACTAGCCAAACTCATATTAACACTCTTCATCTTCTTTTTACGGAACATATATTCATCCAATGATTAGGATTACCTTTCAAATTCTTTCAAGTGGTTGCACAAGTAAAGCTCAAAATAGATAATACACCAGCAATCATGGAGAAAACATACCTCTGCAAGGATCGTCCTTGGAACCTTCTGGTAGGTTATTGAAAGGACATGAACAGCATATGCTCGAATAGCTTGTTCAAAACCTACAGTTCACACTTTCTTAATATAAATAGCATTCATGTTTCAATAAAAACAAGACATTCTAGGAAAAAGGCAACCGTATGGCACAAATCTCAATTAGCCAACATATGGATAACACAAGAGGGATCAAGTATCTATTCAAGATTGTCCCACGAAGTATCCACTTACATCAAATAAGGAACAAAATCTGAATTTGTAACATTCGAATTTTGCCTATAAAAGAGGCAAGCACTAAATGGTTGGCTGTTGAAAAATCTAAGAAAAATATTGTAGTTTGAATGCACAAAATCACGTTAAAAGCAGGTCATCTAAAGAGTTTGGAAGTTAATAATAATTTTATATTACAAATTTGGAATTTATTAACTAATAACACAAATACAGAATACAATTAAGGGATTAACGAGTTTTCAAATAAAGTTACCATGATTATGTGATTAATAGAGGACTGGGAATATTAAACACCCTATATCACTCAAATTGCTGTTATAATAGTATCAAGATTTAAGTGGGGCCAAATATATATTGTCAGGTGCATAATGGCTTAAATGTCTTACATAAATTATTAAAAATTACTCTCCGTTTCATTTTACTTGATCCATGTTGACTTGACACTTCCTCAAGAAAGTATTATTATGGATTCATTTTGCTAAACTAACCTTATTAAATATGCTTTCGAAATCTAAATTTGACTATTATTACTTTATGCAGTTATTTAATATCAAGGGTAGTATTGAAAGAAAATAATAAATTTCTCTTGATTTATTAAAATGGACAAGCAAAAAAAATCTAGTTTTAGTACAAGAGCCAAGTAAAATGAAACGGAGTTGGTAGTAGAATAAACAATGTCAA